AGAGTTCAGACCGTAGGGCGGAAAACTTCAATGCACACGTGCAGACCAGCGAGAGCTAAGCGAGATGATTGAAACACATTTCGGTTCTTGCCTTAGCTCACCTAGAACAACACTGCATGTGAAACAGTTTTTAACAAAATGTATTGAACAGGCATTCAGTCACAGGAGCATACAGCAGGAGTTGTCATACAGGATTAGATGAATGGTCCATTTAATTTCGTTTCTGACCAGTACCAGATGCTTCAGAATAAGGTTTAAAACCCTCAAGTAGGCAATTCCACGCCTATGGGGAAAGTTTCAGTCCTGTTCTGGTGGCTTATAATTTGTCCTGAAGTATGAAGGCAGAGATGCCCTACAATTTTATTGTGTCAAATTATGGTGTGGTGGTATCTGTGCCAAAGTTGAAGTTGCAGCTGAGCTGTCATCACTGCTGCTGTCGCTGCCACTGCTATTATCTGTCTATGTTGCATTAGTAACCAGAGGACCCGTAGCATTTGGCAGTTTACAAACAGGTAGTAAAATACAGCCCACGTCCCTTAAATCTTAAAATCAAATTTAAGATGAGATAGGAGCAATAGGAACACATGGTTACGTCAAATAGTATTATGCACAATATGTGGAGGGTTTTTAAAGATATAAATCAACACAAAATATTGATGGCAGTAATCCCTACTGCCCACCAATAAAACTTGTCATTTGGCTTTTTATCATTACCCTGATCTTGGCCCACTTTAATATCTGTGAACAAAGGCATAGGTTAGATTAGTTCTGAAACTGAAATAGGGTTTCATAGTAGATTTGAAATGAGGTGGACAAGGATTCTGGAATTACATCTTAAAATTAAAGGGATTCATTAGTATTAAGGTGGTCATTTTAATGCTTAGTCCTTTCATCCCTAGAAGATCCACTGGGAGGGAGGAGGAATGCCCCCACAATCCCCTTGTTCTCCCCTTCTTCCAAACCGTATGTTCCTAGCAAGGGGTCCCCTCACCTGCTCATCCCTCACAGGGCTCTCTCTTCTCCCGCTGATGTTATGAGGTGAGCAGAAGTGAGTGTCCTCTCCTTCTGCAGACCTTGTGGGGGAAATGTCCGATCTCCCTGCTCTCCAAGGTTACAAGTTAAGGGTGTTTAATTTTTTTTAAAAGGGAAATTTCCAGACAAAATTCTTTATGCTAGAATTAATGTTGCCAGTGCAGCCTGTGATTTTAAGTGTATATTAGCTTTTCAAGAATGTTTGGGTTTTGAAAAAAATAATTAACCCCCAAAACCAACAAGCAGAAGAGCAAACATTTAAAAGTTAGGAAAGTGAGTTTAAATTTGCAGTTCTCAAACAAGATATTAACTCAAAAAATTACAACAAAAATATTTACTCTGTTCCAGTATATTTGCAATGCAACATATAATGTAGCCATAAGTAAGGTTACGTTTTTGTCACGGATATTTTTAGTAAAAGTCATGGACAGGTCACAGGGAGTAAGCAAAATTTCACGGCCCATGACCTGTTAATGACTTTTACTATATACCCCTGACTAAAACTGGATGTGTGTGTGTGCGCCGCGGGTGCCCAGGGAAGCGGCCTTGAGGGGGTGCTGTGGGTGCTTGGGTGGGGAGGGTTGGTGGGGCTGGGGAAGCGGTGCCCTCCAGCTCTAGCTCCACGTGCTGCCTCTCCTCCGCCCCAGGCTCCGGTTCTGTAGCTCTCATTGGTTGGGAACCTCGGTCAGTGGGAGCTGCGGGGGCGGTGCCTGTGGGCGGAGGCAGCATGTGGAGCTAGGAGCTGAGGCAGGGGAGTTCCTGTCAGCCTTCCGGGGAGCTCCCCTCCCCCCAGGTAAGCACTGCCCCGCTCCTCAATCCACAGCCCTGAGGCCGTGCCCCTGCAGCAGCCGGTGTGACTGGCCTAAGGACTGCCTGAGCTGCTCAGGCGGCTCCCAGGCCAGCTGCACAGGCCGCTGCAGAAGTCACGGAGGTCTTGGAAAGTCATAAGTATTGCGTGCTTTTTTAAAAAAAGTTGGTCTTATGGAAATGTCTGAAGGCAGCTATGCTGAAATGTAAGTGTAAAGTAGAGAAAGCAGAGTGGAGTGATGGTAAAATCTGCCATTAATAGCATTCATTTTATATTCAGTGTACTATAGACGTTTCCTGAATGAGAGTGATCTTAAAATAAAAGTTTTGTTAACTTAGAGCATAATGTACATGTTCTACGGCTGTATACCTCATTAATTTTATAAATGGATTGTTCAGAGAGCTGGTGCCTTTTGATTAAATGGTGAGTGACATGGCCACACTTGTACGTGCACAAAGTGTTGCACTATAGTTGTAAGAATGAAAAAGACCTCAGAAGACTGTGCTTTTACCATTAGTTGTATTTGCATGCAGCTTTATTGGGATTATGCAGTTTAGATGTTAGTTCACTTGTGATGTCTCTACTTGGCATACTTAAGGATATGTCATTGTCTTTTGTCTGGAAATGTAATTGTATATATTCAAATTAGTATAGCCGTCCAGTCTGCTTTTGGAACCTTGATTCCATAATATCTGGTGGTTACAGGTTGCACAGGCTAATTGTGATGTTGGTTTTTAAAAAAAAAATCATTTTATCAGATTTAAGTTTGTGGGTTTTTGACTACATGGGGTCCTCCTTGTTCTCGAATTACCAAGGTAAATAAGAAAGGGTGCCTGACTTCTGTGCGCTATTATTTTCTGTAGCTCTTTCATATTTGCTGTCTAAACTAAGTGGTCCTAACCGTATCAAACATTAATATCTTTTCATGCTTCTAATCACTACTATTACCATTCTGTGGACCTTTTTCTATTTCTGCTTCATGTGATGTGAGACGGTGTGATCAGCATGCAACCCAGTGCTCCAGGTGAGGGCATGCTCTGGATTTATATAATGACAGAATGATTATCCATTCTCTTTCTTAATAGCCCTTAATAACGTAGTTTCCTTTTTTCTTTTCTCAGCTAGCCCTTTCCCTGCCCCTTCTCACAGCACATTGAGCTGTCCACAGTGACACCCACTTTTTCTTCCTGAGTAGACAGCTGTTTTTTAGAATACATCAGCATTTATGTAGAGTTCTAATTATTCCTTCCAGTACATACTGAATTCCATAAACCCTGTTTCCCAGTATCTAGCTTTCTCAATCCCTCTGAAATTATATTCTTGAATAATGTAAATAATTGTCTGCAACTTTGCCTCCTTTATGTTCCTGCCCTCTTCTAATTAGTTGGTCCTCCTATTGACCCATGATGCATCCCACTACTAATCTGTCCTTTGTTTTCTACCTCTTCACCAGTTCCTAATCTATCACAGCCACTAGTGAGGGACTTCAACAAAGCCTTTCTGAAAGTTCATGTATACAGAAACCTATGAGTCTCCTTCATCTACTATTCTCTTGGCTTCCTACAAGAACTGTAATTGATTGAAGACAGTTATCCTTCATAGGTGTTATCCCATCATTCTAGGTGACAAGAATCTTGACCGCTCTGTACTCAACAAAGCCATGGCATTCTAACAGTTTTACATGATGGGGATTAGTCCACACTTGGCCAATCTATCAGCAAAGCAAGACCTTTGACAAGATTAAATTTACATTTAATTGTTAGATTTACATTTTTCAAAGTAGTTTGTGCTAGGAAGGCTGTTCCTGGGGTAAATCAATTTAGTTCAAAGCAACTACAGTAATTCTTATTATTCCTGCCTTATGGGAGCACTAGAAGGTGCAGGGTTCAACCCCCATTTCAGGGCTCTGCATCATCATCCCAGGCTCTTATATAGTGCTTTACATCAGTAGATCAAAACATGCTTTACAAAGGAGGTCAGTATCATAATCCCCATTTTACAGATTCTCTGTCCTGAATGATGATGCTATATGTTGCTAGACAAGGCCTAAGTGTGGGGTAAATGGAGATGTGGCTATGTTTTCTCTGCTCTCTCACCCCTTAATTTGTACTCAGTTTAAGGCGTAGCAAGACCTGCTCTGCTAACCCTCTTTCTGATGCAGCCTGTTGGGTTCTGTGCTTTTTCTCCCCACCCAAAATACGGTTCATCTTCATAGGATCTATGATTGAGTCCAAAGTGTTTATGTGGTTTTTTGTTTTTGATTAAAAACGAGGTTAAAGGTATTGGGTTTTTTTCCATCTTCTACCCAGAATTAAAAGAACAGCTTCTGGCTCGCACATCACATGTGGATGAAATAGAACGTTTAAAGCAAGACTTTGAACAGCAGCGGCAGCAAAGAAGAAGCGAACATGAAACTGAATTGGAACAACTGAGAATTTATTTTGAAGAGAAACTAGGGGCAGCTGAAGAAAACTACAGAGAAGAATTAACTCTACTGCATCAGAGGCTGCAAGAATTAAAGGAATACTCTTTGTTGGAGTCAGAGATTAGTCAAGATCAGCCTTTAGATATCAGGTGATGACTGTTCTTTTCTTTAATCTCATCTGTGACAAAACACACTCAACTTTCCTTTCCTAGAAAACACTTTAGGCTTTGTGTGTGTATTTGGATTGGTGGTGGGAGGTCAGAAACCCCAGGGAGAAAGTTAGTAATGGTTGCAGACAGTTTTTTGGATGCAGACAGGTTCTTGCTGAAATGGTTATTCAGGAGTATTTGACTAGATGCTGGTCTGTACGTATGTATACTCTAATATCTTAAGAATCAATACATTCTTCTAATTCTATATTTTATAAAGTGAGTATTCAATTAATTTTTTAAATTCCTTTTCTCTGCTCAGCTCCTCGGTCACACTTTTAGAAGAGGCAAGTGAAAAAGAGAGAAGGGATATACTTGACCAACTAACTCAGCAACTGGAGCAGCACAAGGTGAAGTGTCAATTTTAACAAAAATGATACTGCACATTTTAAAATCTGCGCAAAAACATGACAGTTGCTTCACACCTGTTAGCATGGTTTTAATAGCAGGTGCTATACTGAGGTCTTGTATTACTATTGTTTTTACCAAGTATACTATAAGGTATTGTCTTACAAAACTATACAACTTGACAAAATAAGTGAACAAAGGATGTTTTTGATGCATTTTTTGCTTTTTTGTTTACTTGCTGCTTTAGAAATAAGTGTTTCAAGAGTTGCCATGGCACTTGGGAAGTCCTTTCCCCTGTGTGGCTCCTGGCTGAGTGCTACAATGGGGTACTGGTCCAAGAGTAGGGCTTCTAGGTGCTATGGTAATACAAATGATAGTATAAGTAGTCTCCTTCCCCCTATGTTAGTGTCAAAACACTTGACAAGCCCCTACTCAGGTGCCTACAGGCATTTCCCACTCTCCTAGATCCTCTGGCAGCTCCTGGAGCTCTACTTTACCTCGTGGCAGCATGGCTGTATAAGCAGAGTTAGGCCTTCTGGGGATCCTTCTACTCCCAGAGTTGAGGTAGAGGTGGGTGTAGAAGCAAGAATGTTCTGAGGAGGCAGACTGGTAAGTGAACTTATATGTTTACAATATGCTATGTGCACTTACAAATTAATTCTTTAGCCTAGTTATCTGAAGGGTAAAGGTATCCGTCTCTGTTCTGAATGTGTATTTTCTGCAGGAAGAACTTACCTGTTTGCGACTGCAATTGGAGGAAAAACACAGACATGAACTAGACTCCTTAAGATCTTCCCTCGCACTCCAATATAAGGAGGACCTGATGAAGATGAAGATGGATCTCTCAGACAGATATATTTCAGAAATTGAGGAATTAAAAAAGAAACATTGTCTAGATCTTGAACATCTCCGTGCCAAGCTTTCGGAAGAGCACATCAAAGGTAAGATGTACTTGCAGGTTCATGTGTAAAATGGAAAGCTTCTTGGATTGTCAAAACTTTTTTATATCTTTAGGCTTTAAAGGATTATTTGAAGGAATATGAAAATTCGAAATTAGTTTGGAATTACATAAAAGAAATCTAGCACTTTAAACTTATTAAAAATGGTACTGAGAATTGTTTTTTCTTAACGATTCTTTTGAACATCTTTATCTTTATTTTCATAAATATTCCTGCTCTAGAGTCCTAAATGTGAGTTTCTAGAATATAATGAACTACAGCTGAGGAACCATTTACATACATGAGACACTCCTGTGGTACTTGCCATATTTGATGCTTAGAAGGGCCCTGTCAAGTTGTTGCACTTCTTTCTGAAAATTTCTCTACTTTAGCATTACAAGAAACGCCTAGACCACTAGCAGAAAGAGATTGGAGGGAAAAAATCCTGTTCCATATCTCTTCACTTTTTGATTTTTATGGCTTTAATAGCGCTTAGTGTACAGTAGGGTTCACTGTTTTCCCTGCATATTCCATTGGTAAGTTTCTTGGTTTGTGCAGATCTTTCACACAGCTTTGTGGGGGAGAGAATTATATTAAGAGTCAGGAAAATATTACTTTAAAAATTGGCCAGAGAGCTCAAGCTAAAGAAATAATCCCCTCCTAAAAAACCAAATCTTTTGCTACTTTACTACTGTTGTATAACTAAGTTTAACAAAGGAATGTTCTGTATGGGCGTAAGCAATGTTTTATGCAATTTCTCACCGTTGTCCCTTTTTTCCTGGAAGAAACATGCTGCTTCTAACCTATTTATACTAAAATAGTGCAAAGCAATTTCAAGAGGTTTTTCTATAAATTTTACATGTGCCATGAAGGTGTGGGGAGGAGATAGTGGTAGTCCTTATATGTATTTCCTCTCTGAGATGGTATATGTGAGAGCAAAGCTTTTTGGACTCTGCATCCGTACCCTGAAAGATAGCCATGTTCTACTGTGAGTAGAGTTGGTTGAATACCATCAGTCAGATGTTATTTGATTTGCTATTTATCAAATCATTTATAAAAGGTGTACTATATTTCTGTTATTCAGCAATCTCTAATGTGAGATACTGGACAAACTGTTCAAATTAAAAATTCATTATCCTGCTAATTTTTGGCAAATCTGCTTTTCTGCTATTTTGGGGGAGATTGTGTTGATAAATATTGTTTGTTTACTGAGGTTATGCTTGAGCTGAGAGAATATTTCATCTTCAGAAAATCTGCCCCCTCATTATCCACTAGGCTCTGAAAAAGTGATGACCTGTTCCTTCTACCATTTATATTGGAGATGCTGATAGGCTGCACAGGTAGTGATAATGTATAGTAGATTAAAAGGTAGTTCATGGATTCCAGTGCCAGAAGGGACCATTATAAGAAATGTAAGTGGAAACATTTTATTAGGTACTTCTTGGTAGACTTGAAATCGAGCGAGCCATTGATGTATTTACTATTTTACTGTCATGACTGAGCTTCATTTTTTTACTTTTATGAATGATCAAGACCCATTAAAACAAACAGCAAAATGTGTTGTTTTTTTACCGTCAATCCAGAAATTACCAAGCTGCGTCTACAGAGTGCTCAAGATGCAGCCCGCCAGGTTGAAGCCGAGGTTGCTGAACGAGTGTGTGTGCTGGAGAATGAGCACAAAGCTAAACTCTCCCTCCTTCAGTGTGAGAAACAGCACATTGCAGAACTGCAAGGAGAAATACAGCACTTAAAGAGAGAGATTACTAAACTCCAAGACATTGGTGTCCAGCATGAAGCCCAGCTGAAAGAGGAGATGGAAAAGGTAGTATGTATTAGTTTGTTTTTTGCATTTAATATGACATAACTATGTCAAATACAGCATCTGCCAGGCGTAAAGCAAAATTAATGGGAATAGTGTCTGGAACAATACTTACCATTTGAACTTTCTTGTCTGTAGTGGGGTCTTAGTATTAATGGGAGTTGCATAGCTAAAACCTTGTAATGTTCTGATGAGTTGGGTCTGCAAATGGGTGATGCATATGTAAAGGTTGAAGTTGAGCAGTTTCATAGGAACTTAATCACCCCCATTCTTCAATCTTTGCCCATGCATCACACATTTGAAATTACATTAATACCATTTCAGATTTATTTATTTATTTTTGCGCCCTAACCTGCAGAAAGATTAGGATCTGAAGTGTATGCTATCCTTATTTCCCCTTGTGATGGACATAATGGCAAGTACAGCGAATGAGAGGAGGAGGATCTTAGACAAAAGTTGAAAGACTTAAATTCAGGCTTTAGGGCATTTTGATGCGAAAATGTTTTTTGGAATTTAGTCAATATTTAAATCTTCCTTTACTACTCTTTTGGTATTCTTAATAGTGCTTTAACTTAATTAAGGCATCAACAAATTGACACCTAAATCTTGTTTTTTGCTTTGAAAGCTGACCTGAGCACAAGATTTGAATATTTAGATGGTTCTTAGATGGTAAAATGGTAATTTTTGGGGTGTGGTGTGGCCCACCTTTTCAATGCAGTGTGTCCTGTGGACCGCCTTTTTTCTCTCTTGTTCACCAGTCACTGTCGCACAGATTTCCTCCTCCTATTTACAGTTCTATAACATCCCTGCAATTGCTTATGTAGAAAAGTAAAATGTTTAATGCATTTTAGCTGTCTTTTAATGTAATTTAGCTGCTGAAAATATATGGTGGTAAACCCAGGACCTTATGACCAGTCGAATCTCTGAAGACCACAGTGGTCCACAGTTGAGGATCTGTAGGAGTTTAAATGGCTAATAAGAGTATTTTATTCTGAACGTTTCCAGTCGATATGGTTTCACCTCTTTATCTATTTTTGTAATATTCATAGATAAAATGTAAACTTGTTGATGATCACAAGAATGAATTAAAAAGAGCTAGAGAAGAGGTCCAGCAAGTGGAACAAGTGCACAAAGAAAAGGAGGAGGAATGGAAGTGTGAAAGAGAGGCCCTGAGGGTCAAAGTTGAAGAGACGTTGTCACAGTTACGTGCAGAACTTGAAGACAAGGCAGAGTCTGAGAAGCAAACTTTGCAAAAGGAGTTTGAACTTCGTGAAGCTGAAATGAATCGGCTTCAGGATCAGCAGGCTGCCCGAATTGTAGAACTGGAGAAGTCCCTAAAGGAGCAGCAGAACAGTTTGCAGCAGCTAGAGGATAGCTTGGCAAGTATGCAGACTACACAGACAGCTCAGGCGCAGTACGAGAGTGAACTGCAAGCTGCCAAGACACTCATGGAAAAAGATTTGGAAAAAGCCACATTTGGGCTCCAAGAGGAATGTGCAGTTAAACTTATGGAAGCACAGAACAAGTATGTAATTAATTGGTTTTTACTGTGCTTGTGTTAAAACCTCATAAGAAATGGCAATTCATAATTTTGTCACTTGGTGGCACCAAAATATTATCTAAATATAACAACATGTATTATTTTAGCAAGGAGCAGTAGTGTTATCCATGAAGTCTCACTGCTAGATTTTTACTTCATATAAATACACACTAAGACCAGCAGTTATTAAAAAATAATCACTACGGTATTGCATATAGAAACAAATGGGAACTTCAGTTTTGTACTTCTAATCTGCTAGTATGGGAAAATTCCAGCCCTGCCTCCCTCAGTTGCTTTCTGTTCAGTTCACACTAAACTGAAACTCCAAATGTGTTTACAAAGCAGGCACCGCAGACTTCCCCACACTGCCCTCTTAATATACCTTCATTGTGAGTAAAGGGAATAATCTCTGTGCGTGCACATTAATTGCTTATCTTTGTGGATGCTGCCACCTATATTAATGATTTTTGTAATATGGGCACTTGTCTATTAAGCAATAACCTGAGATGACATCTCACTTTACATAGGCCATTGCACTGCTCTAAGATAATTCCTTTGTGTTGCTATGGATAAAATGGGTAAAAATGTGGTGATCAAATTTAACAATTTTTGCCTAGTTTTTATTCCTTGCATCTTATCAATGCTTGTTTGACAACATTCCTAATTTTCTTGGAAATTAGATTTATGGAGGAACACAAAGTTATGACTCAAAAATTCACAACAGAGCAAGAGCTTCTCCTCCAAGAGCTGAAAGGGAAGCATGTGGAGGAGCTAGAACTCCAAAGTCAACAGCTACAGGAGAAGCATAAGCAACAGATTCTGTCCCTCACAGCTGAGCTGCAGACCAAGCACCAAGCTGAAATTGAGACACTTACATCTACGTTACAAAGCAAGCAGCAGGCTCAGCTTGAGGCTCGTCTAGCTGAGCTGCAGGCAAAGCACCAGGCACAAATTGATGATTTGGAAGCTAAACACTTGTCAAATCTGGATTCTTTGGAGTCGTCGTACCTGTCGGAAATTCAGATTATACGAGATGAGCACAAACAAGCTGTTGAGGATCTACAGATGCATTTCGCAGAGCAGCTGCATGAGAAGGAGAAGGCAAATCAAGCAATTTTGACTCAGGAAATGGAAAGGCTGAAATTAAAACATTCCGAAGAGCTGCAACTTTCACAAGACAATCTGAAAATTGAGTTAGCTACTCTTCATATTGAAAAACTGAAAGCCATGGCTGCTGAACTGGAAGAAGCTCATAAGGTGAGTCGGGGGAAAACATGACTGTAAGATGATCCTCTTTGGTTTTGAGTTTAGATTGATTTCAAATGAAAGACTGTTGGTTTTGAAACTGATTTTCCATAGTTGTTTCGTTCTGTTTGCGAAATGCTCTATTGATTGAGCAGCTACTGCTTAACTCCTTTGTAATAGTTTTCTTAATTGTTAAGAACAAAGGCAAAAGGAGAGAAATTATAAGCATATACGTATTTCAATATGATCATTATGAAAGTGTAGATTCTGAGTTGAATGGAAATACAAAGTTTTTCTTCTTTGTTACTTTCACTACATGCAGAAATGTTTGAAATCTACAGGGCTTGGAAATGAGAGAATAGTTCATACATTTTCCTCAACAGTTTTATTACTTCCCATAGCATATCATTTTGGAGAAGTGCAATCACTTACTTTGTATAAAGTATTTTTAAAATTATTTTGAAATAAGAATTTCTAAGCAAGTTTTGCATGAACCCTTCTAGAATGGACCGCTTCCTACAGTTTCTTGCTTTTCCTCATGAAACAAAATTTTTATATTTTGAAAATGGCTTCAACCACAGTGCAATAAGGAAGAGCTGGTAATTCTTAAGATTGTTACTGACATTCTGGGGGGAGGGATAGCTCAGGGGGGAGGGATAGCTCAGTGGTTTGAGCATTGGCCTGCTAAACCCAGGGTTGTGAGTTCAATCCTTGAGGGGGCCATTTAGGGATCTGGGGCAAAAATCTCTCTGGGGATTGGTCTTGCTTTGAGCAGGGGGTTGGCCTAGATGACCTCCTGAGGTCCCTTCCAACCCTGATATTCTATTCTTCCTTAGTGGTACATCATACAAAAATATTCTAAACTGCAAGCTCAGAACATCATTTATTCCCTTGGACCCTGATGAGTAAACTGGCTGAGGGGAAGCATAAAAGGTGGCAGTCATAGGACAATAACTCTTTTGCTTCAGTCCTAGTGTGTGACAATACTGCATGTTTATCTAGCTAAGTTCTACCTTTTATGTGTGTGTGTGTGTGTGTGTGTGTGTAGTATATATAGTACAACTTACTTGGCACTCCAAAAACCTTCCATTTTGTAGCGAACTTCATCCTCCTCATTAATTAGTGCTTAGCAACTTGTTAAATGTAAAAATAGGCTTAATAGATTCTGAGGTTTCAGCAATATCATAGTAAACCTAGGATCCTGCTAAATCACATTTTGCATAATTTTAGAAACTTGAACAGAACTTAGGAAGTCTTGAAATATGTTACGCTTCCACTACATTGAAATAACATCTTCTAAGGGTGTTTGAGAGTGCTTTAGCTTCTTAGTATGTATCAGGAGTCCCAGAAGTAGGGTAGTGGCTTGTTGCTAGGATATAAAGTCCCAGCAGATGCTATTGAATATTTTCCTTCTGTTGAGTAAGGACACAAAGGGCATCATTTTGTATTGGTTTATTTAGAGCCTAAATTTGTAAGCCTACTTGATTATACTGAAGATGAGCACAAAAGTTGCCACTCCTTGTCCCTGATTCAAGAAGGCATCCCTTTTCAGGTCAACACTTAAATTGGTGCTAAAGTTCCACTGAAGTCTCATGCTTCATGCTCCTGATTGTAATAAATTTGATGTTGGGGGGGTTGTGGTGATGAGAGTTGTATGTAGGAAGGAACAAGAAGACCAACAGAGATGTAATTTCTTATTACTAGTAAGTTTTACAAAATAAATTCAAAGGTAAGTGAAGTGCATGCTCAGTCAGGGTCCAGGAGACGCTGGTGGTAAATATTGACTTATGTGGTTTGGAAATTCACTGGGCAGGGGGTAACTTTAATACTGCAGCATACAATTCATGAACTGGATATAATGGGGATGTTTGCTGTTTTAAAATGAATAATATTATAGGAAGATTTGAACACCGCTCTTCAAAATCAAAGATGTATGTTGGAAGAAGAAAATCATAAGGCTCTGGATGTATTGCGTGAAGAAGTGTTGCATATGGAGGAACATCATAAAAAAGCACTAAAAGATCTCCAGGATCTCCATGTGGCAGAAGTTCAGAGACAGAAGGAAGCATACTCCTGGCAGCTGCAGGAAGAGCTCGAGAAGCTAAAAGCACAGCATGAACATGAAGAGAAGGTAAGGACTGCTCAAATAGCTTATCTTCTAAAATAGAACACATTCAATTTCATTATCTTGAAAATAAAAATCCCCAGTTATGGAGCTGGATACTATTTGATTTGATGCACTGGTGTAAGTAAAGAAACAAAACAACCGTGAAACATTTAAACCTACCTCTAGCCTAAAGTACATTAAAATTATAACTCACTTCAATATCTCGACAAACAAAATCAACAACAAAAGACACACACGTATACTGGCATGATAAGCTAAGCTAAATAAATATATCAGACCTTCATTTTCCTTAAAGGTTTTTTTAACTGAAAGATTTTAAACGTCCATTGTTGTTTAATATGTGCAACCAATACTGACTTATTGTAATGTTGCATTATCTGTTTAAGGGAAGGGAAATATTGTCTTGAAGTTCAGTGTGAGAATAAGTGGACTATTTTGAGCAGCACTGACTTTTTCAGTGATGCTTAGGCTTCTGAGTAGCTGTCACTTTCGAAAACGAGATTAAAGTTCTTACCTTTTTTCCTTAAAGCTTTGCCCACTTCTTTTGTTGCTAGCGTATGTACAGAAGGAAGCAAATATCAGCAAGCTTCTTGAATGAAGTCCAAGAAACGTTTTTAATTACGCTTCTTGGCTAGTGTTAGTGGTTTTTTGTTTCCAGTTACTGCTGAAGTACAATAGAAACTAGCTTTTTCTGACTTCAGCCATGTACCACAGATGTTGTAGTGAGGCCTCAGATGACTAAGATTTCATTATTGCAGTACATACTGCAAAAATAATGAAACACATTTACAAGTGTGCTCTGAAGAGTCACAAATCATTAAAATTGAACTTCACCTAAATACACCTGACAAAATAAATGAACAAAATACTTTAAAAGAAAAGTTTTAAACTTTATTCTTTCAGCACTGATCCCTATGTGTATTCCACTGTAGGTACTCATGTGCTTTATGTGCCTGAGACTGGAAATTTCTTGCTGGCAATGTCTGGTGGTCCACATCTATGCGCTTGCTCTCCTCATGTTCTCCACTGAGAGTATAAGGGGCGGTGTGGACTGGCAGCATTTCCAGTTCTTTCGTACTGCTGGATGTTCTGAGACAGCGCCCTCCAGTGTCCAGAACTGCTTCTCTGTCTTCAACCTGTAAATATTGTACATATTTTTTTATAGTTATCTTCTGTTAGTTTGCTTAGTATAACTAGTTAGAAATCCCTTCCCCAATTCTGGGAGCGCTCCCCAGTATGGGGTTAGATTATGCCCAGCTTATCAGGCTTTAAAAAACTGTATCTCTTGCACAAACTCCTTTCTGGTTAGCAACGATCATCAGCAGTACCTTTACTGCCTTGGAGAAACTGCACTTTGCAACATGCTTATCTGCCATTCTTTTCCTAGCCAAACCTGGCAAGTGCAGGAATTCAGGCTGAGGAAAAACTTTTTGGAGCACGCATTGAAGCCCCAGTCAGACCCAGGCTTGGGGGGATCCCCTTGTGTATCTGGTAGAGGTAGCCAGAAGTGTGCCTCCTAGCACCATGATGTCTGACTCAGAAGCAGGGAAGAGCAGTGCCAAAGATCTTTCTCCCCGGGCTCCCCAGAAGAGCAGGAAGCACTTCCATAAGCATAGGAGCAGATCCCCCTCTAAATTCACCTCGAAGAGGGGATCCCTCCCTGACTTTGAAGTCAGGCAAGTCTTTGCACCCTGGTCCCATGGATTTAGGTCCATCTTAGTCTCATGGCTCTGACCAGAAGGCGTGTAAGAGCAGGAGTACTTCAGTACTGACCTTGACATCTGTGATATCTACTCCAATACTGGCCAGGATTAGGCAGCGGAACCCGAAGGACAAAGAACTGTCGGTACCAACCAAGAATAGTCAGCGAGATCTCAACATATTGTCTGAACTGCCAAGATCTCATAAAGAACCATCGATCACATTGGCTCCAGTGGTGCCCTAAAGGGATACACACTTCTATCACTCTGGAGGATATTTTTCGTCCTTTCGGATCCGTAATCTCCCATAATGATGGAACCAGCTCCCAGCAGAAAGATTTTGACCCCAACAGTTGACAGGGACTACTAGAAGGGAAGTTTGTCCCTTATCTTGTCCACCAGTTGTCGCATCCCCACTCAGTAAGAACCACCGACACTGCCTATGGAAATGCACCCGATATATCCGATTCCCCTGAAGTGAAAATGTCTAAAGGGCCAACATCACCTCAACTGAGAGAGGTCAGCCCAGAGAGGGGATTGAGAATCTGCTGGGCCACATCCCAGCCTCATAAATTGGAACATTCTCCTCAGGACCAGTGGCACCCAGTGTCTTGGGGGGCCTCCACAGCCTACTTTCGACCCCTTGAGCTGTCCTTACTTGGGGTCCATGGGACTTGTACATATGGGTATCATGACTGCATGTTGTCCTACCGGGAGTCTCATCACCCTTCTCCAAGAGATCAGCCAGAGGTTCCCCCAGAGCCCATGGAAAAGGGGGAAAAGGAACTGGAACTGTTGGTACTACTGGTACTGACAGGGTATCATCCTCATCTCTTGAGGAGTCAGTTGATCCAGCATCACTGTCTCTACTGGATGATCGCAATTTCAAGAGCTGTTGTGGAGAGTATCAGAGAAGCTCCAGGATCTCAAGAAGAAGTTCAGGGGATACATCACAAGCTCCTGAACATCATGCAGCTGATGGGATTTAGTCTGGTAGTGTTCCGGGATGGCTTCATTTGCTGAGAACAGCCAAGAGCCATATGGTACAGCCTGTCAACATGTACTCTCAAGAGGGCAGAGAAACAATATGTTGTCCAGTTAAGGGAATAGAGTTCTTATTTACTGACATTGCCCCACACTCATTGGTTGGTCAGGCAGCCACTGAAAGCACCAGGCAACAGCTCCCAAGGGATGCTCCAGCTGATGAAGAGGCCAAGTGCTTGGACCATCTGGGGAGGGGAGATTGGTATTCACAACCACTAACCTCGAATTGTGAACATTCAACTGCCAAGTGCTGCTGTCCTGATATGATTTTAATAACTATTTGAAGTGCTTGGAGTTCAAAGATAAACTCCCACAAGAAGATAGGGCTCAATTTCAAGCCCTTTTTGATGAGGGAAAGTTGGTGTCCAGAACCTCTGTACAAATCCCCATGAATCTTGGCTACACTCTTCGGGTTCCCTGGGGTGGTCCAAAATATGGGATAGGACTTGCCCTTTCATTAAACTAACCTTTTCAATTAAAAGACAGACCGGTCTTTGCATTTGCTAAAAGACTCCAGGACAACCCTGCTTTCAGGGCGCACGTACAGCGGCCCTGTTAAGAAAATATTACAAGCAGTTGTACAAACCCAGGCTGTCGCCACAACCCTTCAATTATCAACGATCTTCTGAGCTGCCTTGTAAACAACAGAGGGCATGAAAATTTAGATTGATTGCTCCTACCATTTCCTCTGCATCCACCCAACCTTATCCCCCAGCCAAAAGAGCTCTTTGATGGAATCTTGAGTGCTGAGAACCTTCAATGATGCCATCTTTACCGGATTCTGGTGTCTGCTTTGGTGGCCACCTAGCACAGTTTGCCCACAACTGGAGTGTGATAACTGCAGGCAAGTGGGTGTTGAATATCATCCATTCCAGCTATACCACTGAGTTCACCTCACCATCCCTCCAAAAATCATTTGTGCATCCCTCTTCAGGGACCACTCTCTCAAAGAGATCCTCCTTCAGGAGATAGAATCTTTTCTTAAGAGAGCAGGAAAAGAATGAGTACCACTTCAGTATCAGGGGAAAAGGGTTTTATTCAGTATTTCCTGATTCCCAATAAAAGGGGAGGATGGAGACCCATTTTTGACATCCAATGCAGTATTTTTATTTGTAAATTGAAATTCTGAATGGTCACACTGGCATCAGGAATTCTGTCCCTGAATAGAGTCAGTTGGTTCACAGCTCTCAACATGAAAGAGGCATACTTTCATGTAGAAATCCACCCATGTCACCAAAGGCACATCAGGTTCTTCTTCGAGCGCTCCATATCCTAACATACCTGGGAATTGGTGTAAACACAGAGAAGATTCCTGAATCTGATAGAATCATAGAATATCAGGGTTGGAAGGGACCTCAGGAGGTATCTAGTCCAACCCCTGCTCAAAGCAGGACCATTCCCCAACTATTTTTTTTTGCCCCAGATCCCTAAATGGTCCCCTCAAAGATTGAACTCATAACCCTTGGTTTAGCAGGCCAATGCTCAAACTACTGAGCTATCTCTCCCCCAAAATACAAAATACAGACTTCATATGGGAGACCTGGAGTCAATGAGGGTGGGAGCTTATCAGTCCTGGACAGGTTCCACTTCATGAGGATGTTAATTTACCAAGTGGTGCCCAGTACTTGAACATCAGTTTGGGTATGCTTCATGCTATTGTGGCATCTGGTGTCATGTACTTACATGACCATTGGCAAGTCTGCACTGACTCTGAATAGTGTATGTGCTAAGCAATCACGCCATGACTATTCGTTCTAAGGTTGAAGGCCTTGCTGAAGTGGGAGAATATCCCAGGGGTGTGTGTGTGTTTCCTCCTTCCCACACCAGAGAAAATTATAATTATGGATGGCTCCCTATTAGGCTGGGGAGCCCACATGGATGACCGCACAGTACAAGGCACTTGGACACCTCAGGAGACCAGAATGCATATAAATATCCTGTGTCTAAGAGCAGTTTGGGAAGCTTGCAAGGCATTCTTACGGTTCATATGATCTTGATATATTCTGGTAATGTCAGAAAACATAATAACTGTATTCTATGTCATCAAGCAGGGAGGGGTGAAATCCATCCCACTGTGCATATACATGGTGAACTTTTGGGGCACCACTTTACTCCGTCAGCGGTGTACCTTACTGGGTGCTCACAATTCATTGGTGGAAAGCCTCAGTAGGGATTATGCCACCAGCCATGAGTGGGGAACTACATGATTCTGTAGTGAGCAGCATCATTTCTCAGTAGGGAGCCCCTACTTTGGGACCTTTTCTCATCCCAGATTAAGAGGAATTGCAGCATGTTCTGTTCGAGAGGAACTCAGGGTCATGGTTGCAAGAGTGATACTCTCCTACTTTCCTGGATGGGTCATCTGAGGTACGTCTTGCCTTCCATCCCACTTGATTTTCCGCAGAACTTCAAATTCCAACAGGACACAGTGCTAATCATCCTCATTGACTCCCAGGTGGCAGATTTCAACCTGTCCACCCATCAGCATCCAGTCTGTCCTAGATCTCTTGACCCACGACTGCAGCAAGGTCAAACATCCCAGCCTGGTCTCTTGTCATCTCCTGGCTTGATGTTTGGATGGGTTTCACACCTAGAACAATCGTGTTTGAAAGTCGTTCGAGCCATTCTTAAAAATGCCAGAAAGGATTCCACCAGACAATAATACATAGTAAAGCGGAAATATTTCTGTATGTGAGCCCAGCAACACCATATGTCCCATGAGACAGCAGACATCCTGCTATTCTGGATTTATCTTCTTGCTCTGAAGACTGTGCAGCTTTCCTTTAGCTGGCTAAGTTCACCTAGCGGCAATCAGCACATGGCCACCTACTAATTGATGACTACTTCATCTTCACTCGGTGATAGTCTGGTTTCTGAAGGGTTTGATTAGAACAGGGTCGGCAACCTTTCAGAAGTGGTGTGCCGAGTCTTTATTTAAGTTTCGCGTGCCAGTAACGTTTTTAGAAGGTCTCTTTCTATCAGTCTTTAATATATAACTAAACTATTGTTGTATGTAAAGTAAATAAGGTTTTTAAAATGTTTAAGAAGCTTCATTTAAAATTAAATTAAAATGCAGAGCCTCTCGGACCGGTGGCCAGGACCAGGGCAGTGTGAGTGCCACTGAAAATCAGCTCGCGTGCCGCCTTCGGCAAACGTGCCATAGGTTGCCTACCCCTGGATTAGAACCTTTCCACTAATAATGAGACCAGTTCCACAATGGGATTTCATTTAGTACTCTTGGTATCATCTAGGTCGCTGTTTAAACCGTTAGCTACGTGTTCAATGTCCTAGTTGTTGATGAAGGTTGCCTTCCTTGTTGCCATCACTTTGGCCAGAAAGGTAAGTGATCTTAGAGCCCTTATTATTCCTAAGGGAATTCTGCACCAAAAAATAAAAAATTCTGCACATAGTATTTTAAAATTCTGAAAAATTCTGAATATTTTATTTGTCAAAATAACACAATATAATCACACTGGTTTCAATTATTTCTCTAATTTATTTAAACTGCAATACAATGGATGAAGAATCGGAGTGGGGAGCATTGGAGGAAATCCCCAAATGCCCTTTCCTAATAGTAACGTAGCTAGGTTTGACCCTTTCTTTCTAGTTATTAGTCAACAAATATATGCAGCCATAAGCTCAGAGTTACATCATAGGCAACTGAAGAGCAAGTGAGGGCTGGAGAATCAAACTCAAAATTTATATTGGCTACCGAACATCTCCAGAAAGGTTCAGTAGCAAACAGTTCATGGAGCACACTTTGATAGGAAATTTTTCAGTCCAAAAATTTAGACCAGTTCTAATCACTAAAGCGCCATAAGCATTTATAAGGCCATACTGTCCTTTACACCACTCTGGCAATGCAAAGGAGAATTAAAACTTTCACACCTGTTTTATACTCCTAGGGGAATTCACAAAGACAATGGGAACAATTCACTAAGCAAGCAAGCTGCTACATTCTGCTCTGAGGGGACAGAGCCTGCCCCACGCCTATCTCCTCATAAACACTCAGAAGCCCTTCCATGCCAAGTGTGCCGCAAAAGTGAGCGAGAGGAATAGAGTATGCTTCTCTTGCACACTCATGCACGACTGCCCACCCCTCTCCAGGCGGTGATTTATGTCTCTACCGGTTTCTTTGGGCGCCCAAACCAACCTGCTTGCACTGCCAGGGACAGGCGCATGACCGCTCTTGCGCCTTCCCTTTACTTCCCTGTCAGAAGTCATTTTTCTGCAGGGAAGCAAAAGATATCTGTGGGGGACATAAATTCTGTGCATGCGCAGTGATGCAGGAGTAAAGCCTTA